GCCCAAGCGCTGAGTTGAAAATCTCGACGATCCCTTGTTCGAGATCGGACCACTCCTTCGTCGGAAATGGTCAGAAGAAAGTTCACGTTGCGATGGCGTCAGCGCTGGTATCTGGCACCGCGCAAAGTAATGGAGACTGGGCAATCGCTGCTTTCCGGTACCACCGTTCGTTGGATGTCGGCCGGCTCTGTGCCACTGGAAGCGCTGGACCTGGAACGCCTGGGCTGGGGTCGCCGCCGCGACAACGCGGCGCAAACCCAAGCGACGCATAGGGGTCTCAGACCACCTCGAGGGTCGAGGATTCTATGTGCTCTTGGGCCTTCTGGGGCGCTTTCGTCGCCGAGGCTGGGGCCGCCTCGGAGGTCTGGTCACAACGCACCCATGGTGACGCCTGCGGGCTGTTTGAGGGAGGAGACAGACAACTATATATTTGTTGCCAATCCTCCTTGGTTGGGCATTCGTTTTGAATAGAGCACCGCGGTCGCGTTTCCTCCTCCTCCTCCTCCTCCTCCTCCTCCTCCTCCCGCCTCCTCCCAACGGAGTGAGGCACCGCGCAGATCTGAGCGGGACCTCGCCGTCCCTTGGGGGCTGCGATCTGCAAAACTGTCGCCACTGTTGAGGAATGCTGGTGGGTCCAGCGGGGTGAAGCACCGCGCAGATCTGAGCGGGACCTTCCGTCCCTGGGGGGCTGCGATCTGCGAAACTGTCGCCGCGTTCGAAGGCGGCTGGTGTTGCAGCGGAGTGAGGCGCCGCGCAGATCTGAGCGGGACCTCGCCGTCCCTGGGGGGCTGCGATCTGCGAAACTGTCGCCACTTTCGAAGGCTGCTGGTGGGTCCAGCGGGGTGGGGCACCGCGCATATCTGAGCGGGACCTCGCCGTCCCTGGGGGGCTGCGATCTGCGAAACCGTCGCCACTTTCGAAGGCTGTTGGTGGGTCCAGCGGGGTGAGGCACCGCGCAAATCTGAGCGGGACCTCGCCGTCCCTGGGGGGGCTGCGATCTGCGAAACCGTCGCCAATTTCGAGGGTTGCTGGTAAGTCCGGCGGAGTAAGGCACCGCGCAGATCTGAACGGGACCTCGCCGTCCCGCGGGGGACTGCGATTTGCGACACGGTCGCCACTTTGAATGGGTCATGGTGTGTCCAGCGGAGTGAGGTACCGCGCAGATCTGAGCGGGACCTCGCCGTCCCTGGGGCGAAGGCTGCTGGTGTGTCCAGCGGAGTGGAGCACCGCGCAGATCTGAGTGGGACCTCGCCGTCCCTGGGTGGCTGCGGTCTGCGAGCCTGTCGCCACATTCGAAGGACGTTGGTCGGCCCAGCGGGGTGGGGCACCGCGCAAATCTGAGCGGGACCTCGCCGTCCCTGGGGGGGTGCGATCTGCAAAACGGTCGCCACGTTCGAGGGATGTTGGTGGGTCCGGCAGGGTGAAGGACCGCACAAATCTGAGCGGGACTTCGCCGTCCCGTGGGCATTGCGATCTGCGAAGCAGCCGCCACTTTCGAGGGCTGCTTGGGGGGCCACAGCATAGCGACCTGCGAAACTCTCGCCAGGTTCAATGGGTCCTGGTGGGTCCAACGGAGTGAGGCGCCGCGCAGAACTGAGCGGGACCTAGCCGTCCCCGGGGGGCTGCGATATGCGAAGCTGTCGCCACTTTCGAAGGCTGCTGGTGGGTCCAGCGGGGCGAGGCACTGCGCAAATCTGAGCGGGACCTCGCCGTGCGTGGGGGGCTGAGATCTGCGAAACCGTCGCCACTTTCGAGGGCTGCTTGGGGACCCAACGGAGTGAGGCACCGCGCTGATCTGAACGGGACCTCGCCGCCCTTGGGTGTGCGGATAGGGAGACGACAGGGGGTCGTTCTATACAGGGTCCGTACGTAGAGGCAAGGAGGAAGAGGTCAGCTACTCCTTTTCCTGGGAGCTGCGCGGAGGTCAGCGCGCTGTCTGTGTTTATGCCAGTGCCTGGGCCGATGCAGTTGCAGTATGTGGTGATATAATGGGGATATGAGCGGACTTCACACACGCGCCCCGCCCCGAGACCTGCCCGCCCCACGAAGGCCCGGGCCCGCGAGAGACAACGGCAAGGCTCGGGAACAGAAGTGCGAAGTCCACCCCCCGAAACGCTTCGGCACACCTGGACGACACCCCGTCGCCGCAGGTGACGAGGCTGGGAGAGCAAGAGGGAGGATATCAGAGGGAGACTCAACCGCCGCATCCTTCGACGTCGGTGTCCCCACCGACGCATGACGAGCATGCGCAAGATGCAATGGATCAGAGTTGCGACGACAAAACGCGATTCCAATTTCATCGAACCAACTGATGGGGCGGCCGCTGTTGTTATCAAACCAAAGGCACTCGCAATCGCAACGGTCGACGTAAACCAACTTGCGCAGGAAATAAGACCAGTAACGATACGCATCGTGTTGATAACGCAGGAAGTCCCGGCGCCACCATGTATACACATTGCGGCGCTCGCGCGCGGCGCTACGGCTGAGGCCTCGGGTTTCCGTCTCGCGCGGCGCCCGCCTCGGCGGCGCGACAGGTCGCCGCGAAGTCGATGCAGAGCCAGCGCAGCCAGTCCAGCCAGCGCCGCCGCAATTGGCAGGGCCGCCGACAGGGCCATCGCGGCGCGGGAGTGGAGGTACAGGGGTGCACGAGGCGGACAGGTTCAATGGTGGGATGTGGGCCCTCACCCTTGGTACCTTTCGCCGCCCCTTTAAAGACCTGCTCGCGGAGCTCAGCCAGCGTGGCGCGGTTCATCGAACCTTGACCTCTCTCAGAGGGAGCTGAAAAGGTGACGGGCCCACGTCCGGTGCGTTCGCCGCGGCTGAGCGCGCCGGGAGCCTTTGCCCTCCGGCGCGCGCGGCCAGAACTCACGCCCTCGCGATGGAATTGCACACCGTCGCGCATATCATCAAGCGTGAAAGGCCGTTCGTTCTTAAGTCTCCTGACTCCAATCATTTGGCCATAGAACAATGGATCCGTCTGAAAACGCTCGACGATGTCGGAATATGGGTGATACAGGACAGTGCCTTCCATATAAGCATCATCACCCCCGCCGACGTCGGCAGGCGCCGGCGGGCGGGCTACCGGCCAAAACCCACCTGTTGTAACGTTTCTCCGCTTTGGCTGCCAATCGCCGAACGATATTCCTCTTCAAGGAGATACGGATCCAAGTGCGCACGTCCGCCAGGAACTGGATCTGAACACCTCCGGCCCCCCCGTGCTTTTGCGACTCACTGCTCACGTAGCAGAGGTCCTCGGCGCGTGAGCGCGCGCGGGCGGCAGCGGCGGCAGCGGGAGATCAGGTAGTTCTCCCAAGGCCGCCGCTAGTGAAGCATTACTGCCTTCTCCTGAAAGGGGGAAACGGGTTATCATCAATTCTTTCGCCCTGTCCATGGAGCTGTCGCGACCGCGCGCCGTCGCGGGCGCCGCGCAGAGAAAGGCGCTGCGCCCCGAGGCGGCGGCGCCGACCGGCGGAGCCCACGATGGCGCGAATCGCAATGGCGAAAAGCGTGAAAGAAAACGCTGGCAACCTGTGTGCACAGGGAGACGACCGAAGGGTCGATTCTATATGAGGGTCTGTAGGAGGAGGCAAAGAGGAAAAGGTGAACTACTCCTTTTCCTGGGCGCCGCACGGAGGGCAGACCACCGTGTGTGTTTATGCCAATACTTGAGCCGATGCACTTGCAATATGTGATGACGTAAAAGGTAATATGAGCGGACTTCACACACACAAACACATTGGGGGGCGGGGATCTGCGAAACCCTCGCTACTTTCGAAGGCCGCTGGTCGGTCCAGCGGAGCGAGCCACCACGCAGATCTGAGCGGGGCCTCGCCTTCCCTTGGGGGCTGCGAGCCTCGCGAATGCCGCTCGCAGAAGTATATGCGCCCATGTCGCGTCATCACGTCCGTATAACGTCGCCCAAAATACTCGTGCCCCGCATTGCGCAAGGGTTGGGTACGTCGCCGGGGCAATTCGAAAACGGGCGTCAGCAAGGGGGGGCCCGGGTAACTGTAACGGCTGGGCGGGGCGGGGTGGAACACTTCAGGGCGGTGGTGCGCTGCGATCGCCACAGCATGCGCGCGAACGCCAGCATGTCAAGGGGCGCCCTCCCCCCCCGACGACCCCCCGGTGGGGCGGGCCGGGGTAACGGCCGACCGCTACGCGCCAGTGGATAACATGATCCTGTCGAAGGACCCAAACATTTGCAACTACGAAGGCGGGGTGATGAAGCGTGAGCCGGCTGTGCCGACATGGGCGGGATGACGCCATGCTGGCCCTACCGCCAGGGCTTTCGGTGGGGCCCTCGCGAAGCCACGAAACGTCTGACGGCGTCCAAGAATAACAGGATCGGCGCGGAAGGCGCGCGTGCGCGCGCGAGAAGCCTTGCGCGGACGGCCCGTGAGCCCGCTGTCCGCCAGCCCGGCACTGCCTGCGCTCGGCGCCGCCAAGCCCCAGGAGAGGCGAGAAGGTGTGGTCCGAGATTCGAGACAAATTGCTTCGACGGATGCTGGGCCGCCGCAGGTCGAGCTGGGCGGCCGCACGTCGGGCTGGGGGGCCTCAGGTCCGGCGGCGCCGGCCTTGCCGAGCGAACCTTTCTGGTAGCCCCCGGCCAGGATAGGCGGGAAGGCAGCGGTGGTCCTGAGGTCACATCGCGCCCCTCGATGTTCTGGTCGGCGGCCCCAACGGACGCGGGTGCGAGGGTCGGTGCCGACAGGGCGCGCCAGGCGCGGGGCGCTAGACACGCGTGGGGAAGAATAGGGCGGCTGCAGGAGGACGGAAGAGGAAGAAACCTGGCCGTCGAAAGTCGACGGGCGAGGGGCGCGCAGGCGGCCTGAAACACGGACGACGGCACGCAACGAGCAGCAGCAACGAGTAGCCGAGCAGCGGTTGTCTTCGCGCCATCCAGACGC